ATCATAGCGGGTCTTTTTCACTGAGAATAAAGCAAAAAAAAAAAAAAATCGTGAAACTTCTTTGTGATGGTAAAAAGTAAAAAGGAAATAATTTTCAGAAATAATCCATACTTTTATGGAACGCACCGTTCTATTTCTTTCTGCTGAACGCTGTACTTGTCATAAAGTGATTGCAGTGAAGTACACTCATCGTCAGTTGCAGGACATTTCCGTGGCGAGGTTTCCGTAATGGTGATAGGTGAATGGCCTGATGCACCATTGGAAGAACCTATTTCTGAACTGCATTCATCCATCCCTGCAGATGACGCAGTTTCAGGACATCTAGAATGCACAGCTATGAAAAGCGCAACACACATCTCAAATGACGTCATATATGCGCATGAGAATAATAAATTGATTGCCAATTAAATAGTAGAAAAAACACCAAGAAAGTAATTAGAAGTAATCTGTTCAAATAGAAATACAAAGCGATTCGTCGATGGAAAATCGGACTTGGAAAAATAGTGTTTTTCAAACACCATGACTGAAGAAGTCGATTAACCTTGAACCAAGGCGGAATTCAGAATTTCGAAGGAAATGGTTTGACACGTTTTATGGTATTCCTGCAGAAGAAAAAACATTGCAGTGCAGACATAACACCGAGTCGGCGCGAAAAATGAACCGCGAGTGATGCGACATCGTGTAGTGACTTCCGCGACGTCGCGGGGTGACTTCCTGCTGCACACTCAGACTAGTTAGCGAATACGCGTTATGTTTCGAGCGCACAGCTTGATTTCGCTTTCCAGGTTTCAGGTTTCGAGTTTCGGACTAATAGCACTAAGTGGCGTATATCTTTGTACTTTTATCGGTGAATTTAAACGACGGTAAATATTTCAGCAAAGGCGTTGTTTTTGTGCGCGTGGCGAGGTCTCGAGCATCGGGTGCATTTCTATCAAATTTGGCTCACCGCCGAACGACACATTACTTTTTCAAGCGCTGAAATAGGGCATGACAGCAGCAACGGTTATATTTCTACATGAAGAACACCTATTAATTCTCAGCGATCGCATCCAACTGAGGAAAAAAACAAGTGCCACTCGTCTTGCGGACGTTGTTCGTATCGATCATTGTCTTCTGAATGTTCCATAATGGATTTCATCCGAACTTGTATTTCAATGTTTTCGAATCTACAACAGTATTAGCACCGAATTGTTCCTACTTAATAAAAAGGCGCCGTATAATAAAATGTGTACGGTACTGTGCACAGGTGTGGTTCGCTGGGTGAGAAAGCGAATTTCCCGCTTTTCACACGCGGAACTTTTTCGCTGCAAGAACCCCAGGTCCACTTCTGATCAGTGGTGGACCTGGGTTCCCGCAGCGAAAAAGTTTCGCGCTGCGAAAGCGGAAAACTCGCTTTCTGTCCTACCAAACCACACTCATTGTGCATAGGGTGCTTCAGGGGTGTGGTTCACTAGGACAGAAAGCGACTTTTTCGCGTTTCGCAGCGCGAAACATTTTCGCTGCGGGAACCTCAGGTCCACCGCTGATCATCAGTGGACCGAGGTTCCCGCAGCGAAAATGTTTCGCGCTGCGAAACGCGAAAAAGTCGCTTTCTGTCCTAGTGAACCACACCCGTGCTTCAGACTCTGCCACACGTTCACCGTGCAGTTGAATTCTTCTTCAGCTGCCTAGATCCGTTGAGCGTTTTTTTTTCTTCCACAGTAAATTCAAATCGAACTCGTGTCTCTGAAGCATTCCCTCTGAGCAATTTGAACTGCAGCTCAAGAGGAAAAAAAAGGTAAAATATTAGCATTACTGCAATGTCCAATTGCAAACAGCACATCAAATTGGCTTTTCTGAAATGTCTCATTACACACATTTATTGCCGGTACTTTCAAGAAGAACGTCATTCGACGTTACATCATTTAGCTTGACGTGAGTCATCGAAGTCAATCACTCACTTTTTGAGAGAAAAAAAGGTTAGACAAAACAAATGTGACGCGAGCAGCCCACGTACGCTTATATGAAGTTTGGCTTCATATTAGCGTACATGACCTGAAATTTAGTAAGGACGTAAAAGAATTATGCGGGTGGTGGAGAGCAAGTTCGGCAAACCATTGGCATTCATTCGAAGTCAGTGGTATGACAGGTGTTCATTTATAACCAACGCGGAGATAATAGGGAACAACAGATAATGCGTCATACAATGATGCAACATCCCTTTCGTTCTCAGGTATGTCTGATAACAATTAGCTCAAAGCAGTCCCAGCAGAGACCTTCTTCAGTGTCTCGATACAATAGGTTGTGGAATGATGCGCGTAGCGCCCCTAGTCAAGAAAACATTAATGGCTGAGCGCAAAAAACTCAGCTTAGAAGCCGCTAGAAGCAGGAACTGAACGGCTTCGCAAGTGGCGTGGTTGTTCGCGCCGAAAGGGAAGAGGTTGCAAAACGACCGCATGAATCACGCCCACTTTAAGGCGCAGTCGGGCCTTATTTTTTTTTTTTTTATTGTTTTTTTTTTATTTTTTTTTTTTTTTTTTTTTTTTTTTTTTTTTTTTTTTTTTTTTTTTTTTTTTTTTTTTTTCTTTTTTTTTTTCTTTTTTACTTCGTATAGCATTCATTATACGAAGTTTTTTGTTCAGTCACACTTCTCATTCTTGTCTAGGACTAACGCATCGTTCCACACCATTAGTAAGGTGAAACCCTGCTGGGACTGTTGCTTTAACGCCAATGCAATGGTCACTTATCAGGACTTTAGGACAGTATTGCCTTGAATAGGCCTTTCTCAATAAAATAATAGACTGATTAGCAATTAACTAAAGCAAGTGAAGTCACATTTGCGCAGAAGACTGCATGGGTTATTGCGCCCGAAAGTGAAGGTGCTGTGGTATTTGGTTCTATGAAAACTCTTGAAAGCAGAGATTGCAGCACTTTCATTGGTCGGTGGCAGCTTTCGATATGGCAGGATACGGGAGGAGGAGGTGGTCGCGACAAATGAGAAGCGCGCAATCCCCGCTAACTGCCAGGCGGCGGGGGCGATCAGTCGCCAGGGGGACCCGATGGCGGTGCGGTTGCTGCGGTTTAAGGCCTTCCTTAGTAGTTTATTTACGCTTTTTCATTACCGTCAACAAGATAGCTACACTTGAATTTTACTTGTCGCCTCTACACCTAACACATCAATTACATCGGAATAAGCTTGAATTTGAATCTGGTCAGATGCCCGCCAGACTCGGCGCTTGTGCAATCGCTCCGCAATCGCCGAGTCTGACGGACACCTCAAGCTTCGCTACGACGTAATTATTGCGCTGCAAGGGCGAAATCGAGAAATTTTTAACGGTCACACCAAGAATGCTTACGCTTTCGAGGATTCGATGATATGATTCGAGGATTGTCTTCGAACGAAACATGCGCATCGCGCGGGTTGCGGTCCCGCGGCCCCCCTACGATATGAAGGTTACCTGAGAGGCCAATTCAGCTCTTTGGCTACTCTCACCTTGCAGGCCTAAGTTATAACTGTCCAAATGCACCTACACAACAGACCTTCGATGTGATGGAGCGTTCAGAGTCTGCGATCGTACGTGCGATTAGGTGAGAAGGCGATAAGTGTAACAAGGACAGATATCGAATTCTTTGCTCCGCTCACGCGCGATCGGCCGCCACACGTATCGATTTGTTTGCTCCGCCCATTGCGCGACATCGCCTACATCGCCTACTCACCTAATCTATACATATATTTTCCATTATAGATTAATCGAAAATCACCTAATCGCACGTACGATCGCCAACTCTGAACGCTCCATAAGACTACAAAATATCTAACTAGCATGGGAAGTCTGACGAATTCAGCACAAACTGCTTCATATAATGAATCGCTAAAACAACGAACGTACTACTTAATGAAAACAGTAGTTAATACAATAATGTTCTTCTGCCGACAAAGTTTTTAGGTGGTAAACTTTATTAATGGCCTGACGTTTCGAGCAGATCGTTTCCTCGAAGATCTAGTTCGATCTGATCGAAGCGTCGGGCCGTTTGTAAACTTTTCCACCTAATGACCTCGTTGGAAGAAATCGTTAAACCCAACAGTGTTGCCAAGATTTTACGAAGGGAGAAGTTGGAAGTTGTTGAATTGCTAGTTTCGAGAATATGTTTTGTATGACGCTTCAAGAAAAAACCTTAGGATTTGTAAATAGGCGGTTTTCTTTGGCTGTTGTTTGTTTCATGTTTACGAGAAAAAATTCGCGGTAATTTCCATGCAAAGTCCCCCTTGTAATCCACAGATGTCACACAATATACCTAAATTATGAAGAAAAGGTCCACTGTGACAGAAGAAGAAAACCAACGCTAAAGGTCGCAAATGGTCGGTCTCACAACGATAAGACGAGATCACTATGGATTTTTGGCTGTGGAAATAATAGCTGGTTCTGAATATGACAACACGTTTTTCAACTTCATGAATAAAGAGAGTCAAAAATGCGGCTGCTCATTTAAGGCCGATAAAGGATAGACTTACTAAACGAATGGAAACCGTCTTGTTCAGCCGCTAGAATTGAAATGAAAAGTATCTCAAGTGCTGAATGATGTCATACGAGTAAGAACAAGACAAAAAGACGATTAATAACGTAGCCGTGCAAACCGGACGGACGGCCGGCCGAGTTCCATTCGCCGTCGCCCACTTGGGGGGTGCCTATCGATTTGTTTAGCGGGGGCGCATGGGAAGGCCGATGAGGGCGCGCTTCACCTTGGAAACGTCACCGTACGGCGATCTTCTTTCATTTAACCCGTTGTCTCAGTTACTTGTCCTTAGCCAATCTGTTTATACTATTTGTTAATAGTTCTTGAATTCCGTGTGAAAATAACCGTAAACCCTCACATGAACTGCAGCTGGGTAACTTGCGCTTCGCTATTACTGATTGAGCTCTTTTTTTGTGAAACTGTTAGGGCAGGATCTTGCTTGTGGCGCTATTTCAAGGTTTTCTATAATAAGATATCGTTTCCCATGGAAACT